GCAACTTGAACATTTATTCCACTGAACGTATTATTCAAACACAATCCTCTGTGCTCTCAACACCGGGGATCTGGATACCTGTGTTCATCGCTGGGTCTTCACTACAGTGAATAGTTTCTGCCTACCTTTCTTTTTTCCCCCTTTGACTGACTGGAAAAGCCACATTTCGGAATGATGGATATTGTTCATTTAACTCTAGCATTTACTTTCCCCTAACTAGTGCTGTGTTGATGATTGATCAGACTTCTCCCCCATTTAGCACCCATGTAAAACATTGCAAAAGATTGGCTCTGCGGCTTGGAGAGCGTTTTTTGTAGCAATCTGTTCAAGCTGCAGCAGGCATGCCGAGTGGCATGGAAGCTCTTAATGAAACGGCAGCAGATATTAGGATTTTATGGACTGGAAAACAGTACAAATCAAAGCGCTTTGCTTACTGTTTATCTGTTTAGAAACGTTTTTATTTTCTAAACCCAGCAATGCTCGTCTTTTTCATGCAGCATTTTAGTTGGGCTCTTTACATATTGATTTTCCCGTTCAGTGGTGTGCCATGATGAAGCTGGAACACTCTGCCTAGGAGATGAGTGAGCACACGAACAGGGCAATTGCTGTATGCTCTCATTTCCAGGATCCTCCACTAAGGGGGAGAGAGAGATCGGGGCTCACTGTGCAGAAACAGGACATCCCTGCGTCAGGACTTTCCCCTGTGTGGGTTTCCCCTTGGGCCAGTAGGCTGGTCCTCTTGTAATAGGAGACTCTTAGCGTTGACACACAAAGTAGCATTTTCTCTTTAAATGCTGAAGGTAATACAATAGACAAGGAAGGCTCCAGCAAAACCCAAACCCATCAGATGGTTTGCCCGGGGGTCCAGGAAGTATTTTCTATGACAGGCCAGATAAAATTCATAAACAGTTTTGTAAGTCAATTGTTGGTCTAGTCACATACCGTTTCTATCAAAATTCATGGCAATAGATAATGCCTCAGTATTATGTGTGGCCATGTTGCAGTAAAGCTATCTTTACCAAAACAAACAAGGAGAAAGACACAGTTGGAACTCCCTATCTGTGGGTTCCACTGAGCATGGGTAGGTGGAGTGTGCCTGTATTGAACATGGTTGGGTTTGTTTTTCCTTGTCTCTATTCCCTATGTAATGTAATAACATAGCAACATTTAGGATAACATTATCTTATTAGGTACCACAGGCTGATTCATACAGTGGACTTAAAGTATATGCAAGAGTAAACATGTTCCATGTAAATATGATCCCATTTTATGTCAGGGACGTGAACATGTAAGGTTTTGGATATCTGAAGGGACTCTAGAAGCAGTACTCTTTGGATAATGGCAGACAACTCTTATTTTGTTTGTGGGGTATATTTGCTAATCCCCAGTTTAAACTAAAAGATGAGGACTTTGGTTCTGTGCTCTGACTTTTCCCTGAAACACCTCTCCCCCCACAACAGGTCTATGATCTATTTCAGGGCAGGGAGATGTAGGATCAGTGCTTTTGTTTGTATGATTAGGAAAGACAAATTCTTTTCCTGGCAGAGCCAAAGTCAGGAGCTGGCAGCCACCTGGGAATGCAGGAGCCCTCCCAGAGGCAGACCCATGTTCAGTTAACACGAGGGAGAGCAGGCCACATGGGGTTAGAAAACCCATGGTGTATACTGCTGTCAAGCTGCCCCTGGAATAACACCTCTGTCTCTGTTATGTAAGTCGATCTGAGCCCTCTCTTTTTGCACCAAGGTTGATTGTTTGCTTCCAGCAACCAAAAGAATCCTGGCTAAGAGAGAAAAATCTAGATTTACGTCCAGAATCGGGTCTTCCTACTCCACAGGCAGCTTCATCTGCTGATGAAATTCTTCTATTGCCAAGCCATGTAAGAAACCCCAGCTTCTCTGTGTGCATGGTTATTTTCACGTGTGCATGTGGCTGCATCCATGCACAATTTTAATGCTAGCATACATTTTTCTCAGATGCAGAAAAAAGTCTTTCTTTCTCAAATACCTGCATAACACAGACCTCACTTGTCACAAAGACAGCAACTTCCTAGGTAATTACATAGGTCTGTGAAGATAACCATAGCAACCTGGCAGGCTCTGAGGCATGATGTCATGTAGGTCGCCCTGACTGGAGAGACACTGATGTTAATTTAGTCTCTGCCTAGGTCCTGGTTACTTTTGTTTGCTTCAACTGCTCTTTTTAGACAACATCCCCTGCTAGTAAGTGATTGCCAAATTTTTAATTTTATGGACCAATAAAATTTCCAGAGAAGCTACATAGAGTTGTCAGTTTCTTTTTTAAGTTTATTTTGCTAAGTGAGATCATTTCACAAAAGGTAAAACAATCAACCAGCTATCAACAGAGTTCCATCATTGAAATAAATACATGGCTTTAGGGACTGGCTGGACATTGGGGCACATCCAGAACCTCCATGTAAGGGATACACAGTGCCTGAACGCAGTCCACACTTCAAGCCACGCTCCCTGCAAACACAGGCTGTGTCCACCTGGGTGAAGAAATACATTTGCCTTTACACAAAGGGATTTCCTGCTGGCCATGTAGCCATAGGGTCACGCCTGACTAGAAGACACAACCTTTGTAGCCCACGCAAAATTCATTTTAAGCTGGCAATGGTCCTGCACCGTATTATTCTGCTTTCAAAAATGTCACTAGGGCTGGGCTTTAACCAGCGCCTGACAATTATACATGTGTGCTCCATGGATGCTACATGCTATGGGAGCATCACCATACCCATTCCTGGTCTGCAAGCTGTCAGTAGAAAACCACAAGGGCAGCCCACAGCAAACTGAAATCATACTGAATGGAATGTTCTTGCCTTACTGGTACTCACACGAAAGGGAGCAAGATCTTCAAAGTCTCCTCTGCTTATTCCCCCATGGGGACAGCCAGGAAACCAGCCTGTGCAAGGTCTGCTATGTGTCAGGTAAGACACTACATGCTAAAGATGAGCTAATCTAATTCAGCTCTAAATGCCATCCATCATGAACTGTCCACTTTGTCTTTGTGACAGGGCTCTTACTGACCTGGCGTTAGCTTCTTAGGCTAGACTGGCTGGCCCAGAAGTTGCAGGAGTCCTCCTGCCTCTATCCTCCCAGTGCTAGGTTTAAAATCACATACCTCTATGCTTGACTTCTTGTTTGTTTTGTTTTTCCAGACAGGACTTCTCAGTGTAACAGCTCCGGCTGTCCTAGAACTCGATTTGTACAGTAGACCCGCCTCTGCCTCCCAAATTCTGGAATTAAAGGCATCAAGCCTTGCTTGACTTATTTATATGGCTTCTGAGGAACAGATTTTAGGTCCCATTCTGTACAGTGAGCACTGAGCTATGTTCCCAGCCCCAAATGTTTTCTATTCCTCTAAAAGTCCAGCTTCTTTTGCCAACCTTGTCTGTGCTTTCGCAGCTGCCCTGCTCAGTGCTCTCATTTCTTCATAGCTTAATGCTTACAGGTGCTTCTGTAAAGGGGCAATAACTTTGTAAGTATGTGGGCAAGTTGTGGTCCCAAAGGGTCTGTGATCTGGGCTTGCCTGAGAGTCCCCCCACTTTTGTTTGTTTTTTTGGTTTGTTTTTTTGAGACAGAGCTTCTCTGTGTAGCCCTGGTTATCCTGGAACTCGCTCTGTAGCCCAGCCTGGCCTTGAACTCAGAGACCCACCTGCCTCTGCCTCTGCCTCTGCCTCCCAGAGCTGGAATTAAAGGTGCACATGCACCACCACCAGCACTCGGGGAACATTCCTCTTCATTAGTCTCAGCTGAGTCATCTTGGCATGAACACAGCAAAGGTATATGAAATGGTGGGAAGCTGAGTAGCTCCTGCTGCATCCTGACATGCACCTGATGTCCTGTGCATGCTGTCTTGGAAATGCTACACTTGACGGCTTGACTAAATTGGTGGCCTTCATAGGGACGATAGATGCTTAGATGTCATGGAGACATTCTAGTGGCCACCTGACTTTTCATCCTTGGATCTTAGCATTTCTGAATAGTCCTTGCTAACCCAATATTTCACTGGAATTGAATTCTTAAAAACTACTCCTTTAAAGTGACAACCTCCAATGTTCAGCCTTGGCTAAGAACTGTGTGTGTGTGGGGGGGTTGGCAATGTGCAGAGCACTTTTCTTTTGTATACTGAGTTCCACTTTCTGCCTTGCCTGCCCTGTACATCCTGTAGGACCTGGAACCCTGCATTGGGTCCCCTTGACCTCTGGGCACAAACACATATACATACTTAAGCAAGCTTACTTCCCCCCAACAAACATGTACAACAAAAGGCATACTACATTTAGTTTTGTTTACATGGCTTTCAAAAACCATGCAAGCTCTATTTCAATTTTAGGAGTAAAAAATAATGGTTATCCTGGGGGCGATGGTGAGGAAGAAACCCAAGAGGGGCCATATGGGTTACTGATTGTGTGTGGCTTTTGACTGGAGAGTCATTTACAAGATGATTTGTGAAACTTTATATAGCGTGTGTGTTTGTACGTGTGTGTGTGTGTGTGTGTGTGTGTGTGTGAAAAAGGAAGAGCCAATATTAAAATGGCACTGGAATGGAGACTGGAGAAAGCAGGAATTGTGTACACAGACATTCATCACTTATTCTTTTAACTCTTCTGTAGGTTTGAAGTTTTCAAAAGAAAAAAATGGAAAAATATAAAAGGGATTTACTAGATAAGTGTTTACTGGAAGTGGCTAATATAGTTCTTATCAGCAGAGGCCCCTTAAGCATTCATAAAGCATCCACGTTGATACCTGCTGTCATGAAACAACTTGGACCATCGAGATCCCTGAACACAAACTGGGTACCTCATCTGGAACTCTTATCACACTGGCAGTCTATTACCATGGTGAAGACACCCTGCTGTGCTGAGCATGTCAACTGTGGCGTAGCATCCCCAGGCTGCACTTCTGGGGTTCTGACTTCTCAGGAGTCTGTCGTGTGGGATTGGCCTCATGATGCTCACTGCTGTTGGTTTCTATCTACAGAAGCTGTGTGAGACAACATGTCCCTGAGGGCCAGGACTGGAGTCAGTTCTTCCAAGTACACACTCTTTGGGAAAGGAAAGGAAGAAAAAACTTGAACTGCTTCTTATGTTTTCAACCCAAGGCATAGGTAGAGCGGTCCTGGAAGAGCGGGCCAGAAGGTGGCTCCGTGGGTAAGATGCTTCCTTCACAAATTCAAGGATCTAAGTTTAAATCCCAGCGCCTGTGTAAAGAATTGGATACAGCAGCACGTGAACCTGTAACTCCAGGGCTGAGAGGGTTGGGGACAGGAGGACAATTGGGGCTGCTGGCTGCCAGTTGAGCTCCAGGCCCAATGAAAGATGTGGTCTCAAAGGAGTAAGATAGGGAGTGAAACAGCAGTAATGCAGAACTATTAAGCCACACAAATAGGGATGTCCTAGGATATTTTATTGAGGGAGAAATCACTTACGTGAGAAGCCAAGAAAGCTGAGAACCAAAGGTCCAGAACTCAAAAGAGAGAGCGTTTTCTCCCCCCTAGCTCTAGGTACCTGTGACCACACCCAAACTGGCGTGGCCAGCGCTACAGGTACATAGATCTCTTCCTACATCTTCCTCTGGCCTCTGCATGTGCACTCAGGCACACAAACCTGCACATATACCATGAACATCACACACACACACACACACACACACACACACACACACACACACACACCACAAGGGGGCAGAGACACACACAGACATATATATGCCTCTCTCTCTATATATATATATATGTGTGTGTGTGTGTGTGTGTGTGTGTGTGTGTGTGTGTGTATGTATGTATGTATATACAGAGATACACACAGAGAGAGAGAGACAAACAGAGAGAGAGACACACACACAGAGTATCCCAGAGGAGAGCAGACAAAGGAAAAAAGATGAATTATTTGTTTTTTTCCATCTGGCCAGCACAGAAAACCCACTGTAGAGTTGGGGCATTCAACACTAGAAGGTCAAATCTAGAAAATCTCTATGCCTCTTCCCATTTTCATCCCCAAACCTGATAAGCCTTCAAGGGATACCAGTACCATGACCTCTTGGGATCTTGGATCTGGGGAAGACAGAGAATATGACGCCAATTCTCCAGCCTTGCCCTGCCTCCTGCAGCAATGCTGCGTGGCCCTCTCCAACACAGAACTGTCACATAACAGGTGCTCAAACACTTTGCTGACCAGTAGATGAGCCATAGAGAGAAAACTCTGAAGGAGCGAAGGGAGCAGTTTTGTGGAGAGATTCTCCAGGATGAGCACAGAGCACACTGGCAGAGACATCAGGTTTCTCAACTAAAGTGTCTTTGTAGACAGAGACGATCTGCAGAGGTGCTGTGGGTGTCTGATGATTTCAGAGAGCAGACTGGTGTCCGAGCCTGTGAGAGCTCTCCAGAGGTGAGTGTGGTAGTGCGGGGTCGGGGGAGGGGGCGAAGAGCCAATTGCAATTGCTATTGTGAATCCTGTTTTGTTCTCTTAGCATCTCATGATGGGCTGGAAGGGAGGTTGGGCTTAATAGTACTTGTTTCTTTTGCAGAGAGCCCAGGCTTAGTCCCTATAACCTGTGTTAGGAAGCCCATGACAAAGTTAACTGCAGTTCCAGTGGCTCTGACTCCCTCTTCTGTTTTCCACAGGCACCTGCACTCATGTACATCTTTCTACATGTACATAATTTAAAATAAAATACATCTTTTTAAAATCTCACATTGAGGCCAAATCAAATGCCAGATGCTATACCAAACACTTTAAATGTATAATTCCACTAAGTTCTCACAAATGAATTACACGCCTCATTTTACAAACAGGTGGCTGCTGGGAGTGGGGATGAGGGTGGGGGTGGAGACATGGTTCTGTCCTTGAAGTATTTGCCCTGAAAGCAGGAGGATCTGAGTTTGACCCTGAGAACCCATATAACTGGGCATGTGGTGTGGTATTGTAATCCCAGTTCTGGGGAGGTGAAGATAGGCAGATACCTGGGCCTTGCTGTCCAGCCAACCGAGCCTAATCAGTGAGTACCAGCCAGTGAAAGGCCCTGTATTTGGGTGGATGGCTCCTGAGGAGTGATGCCTATTGTGGACCTCTGGTCTCCAAACACATCCACACACAAATGTGCACATATATGTGTGCACATACCATGAAGACAAAAGTGAGGTGTCTAATTCTTGAGGAGGCATCATGCCTATGTGTAGTGATTACTTTATGTGTCAACCTGACTGGGCTACTCAATGTCCACAAATTTCATGGGTCAGTATTCTGGCTGTTTCTGTGAGCGTGTTTCTGGATGAGACTGTGTGATGGTTTGGATGAGAATAGCGTGGGCCCTGGTTGGTGGAACTGTTTGGGAAGGATTAGGAGGTGTGGCCTTGTTGGAGGTGGTGTGTCACTTGGCTTTGAGGTTTCAAAAGCCTATGACATTCCCAATTAGCTCTGTTTCTCTGACTTGTGGTTGTTGTCTCAACATGTAAGCTCTCAGCTACTTCTCTAGTCCATGCCTGCCTGCTGTCATGCCCCCTGCCATGATGATAACCCTCTGAAACTGTAAAATCCAATGAACTCCTCCTCCTCACCCTCCTCCTCCTCCTCCTCCTCCTCCTCCTCCTCCTCCTCCAAGACAGGGTTTCTCTGTGTAGCTTTGGAGCCTGTCCCGGCACTCTTTCTGCAGACCAGGCTGGCCTTAAACTCACATAGATCCACCTGCCTCCCAAGTGCTGGGATTAAGGGCATGTGCCACCACCACCCTGCTAAACTCTTTCTTCTATAAATTGCTTTGATCATGGTGTCTTAGCTCAACATTAGAAAAGTAGCTAACACAGATCACCATTAAAATCAGTAGACTAAGCAAAGACAACTGCTTCCTTCAGTGCGGCTGGGTCTCATACAACTGTTTGAAGACACAAAGAGAACACAGAGGGAGAGTTTGTCCCTACGCTCAGCTAACTTTGGGCTGGGACACTGGTTCTCTCTAGCTTTGGACAGGCAGATACCAGCATAAGTGGTATCTCTCCTCACTGCTTTCCTGTATTCCTGCTTACTGAATGCAGATCTTGGGGTTTACCTTGCTTAACTTCATGAGTCAAGTCTAGATAGAGGGAAGGATGAGTTACATGGTTGAGTGGATGGACAGATGGATGGATGGTATTGGTTTCTGTTTCTCTAAGAACCCAGTTTACATCACTGAAATCACATCATCACGTGATAGACCTATCTTTTTGGCTCGCTACCCACCATTCTGAGATTCCCCACTTTCTGTAGCTGGTAGGATTCACCTTCTACTATGGTGATGTAAAAGCCAAATGCTCCACTTCCATTATATAGCCAGAACACAGGTGTTGCACGTAAATCTTGCTGCATAGAACTAAGGGGGCTTTCCTGCAGAACACTGGGTATTGGGAGCAATCATTGTTATTTAGAACCTCTTGTAAATATTGTCAGTCTTTTTTAAGAATAATCCAGCCGGGCGTTGGTGGCACACGCCTTTAATCCCGGCACTCGGGAGGCAGAGGCAGGTGTATATCTGTGAGTTCTAGGCCTAGGCCTGCAGAGTGAGTTCTGGGACAGCCAAGGCTACACAGAGAAAATCTGTCTTAATAAACCAAAACAAAAACAAACAAAATTTTATTACAACCCCATATCATTTACAAATAGTCAAATGAAATCCAAAATTATGTCATCTGTTTATTTATGCCAATATCTAGCCATTCACCCAAATAACTTTCTATCCTTCCACCCTCCTCCATCCATCATCCACCCTTTCATCCAGGTATCAATCTGCCTAGAACACTGTGGTCAGAAATGTTCTTGTCTTCCCTGCATGCTGTGGCCCGACTAAAGGACAACAATGAGCATGAGTGTGGCAGATCCTCTGAGATGTTCTACAAGAAAAGCAAAACAAGACAAAAGCAAAAGAAACAGGACAAAATTAGGCATTCTCCCATTATTTAGCCCTGTCTTGAGCATCCATTTTAACAGTAACATATATTGCTACCCACATGACCGTCAAACAACTGCTAAGACCCCACACGTATTCTAAAACACTGGTTGTCTCCTTTGAAGGCAGCATGTGCTATTCTACAGAACCAAAGAAGAGCCTCAGGCCCACACAGGCCACCCAGACCTGCCTTGCAGATATTTATAGACTGGTTGGTGTTAACTTCTACACAGACAATGCATTTCTGACCTTGCCCTACTGTTGATGACTTCTAAGTTCTAGGAACATCGGGACTGGCCCATCACCCTGCTTGAGCTAACCATATTTGACACAAGCAATCCCATTCACGGTGGCCCCGTGCCCTTGCTTACACCAGTCACAATCCAGGAAGTAATGTCGTGCTTGGGTTTTAGCATAAACTTCAAATCACATGCACACTAACACTACTTCACAAGCTAGAAATTACCACGTCTGGCTCATTGACATTTACTTCTGGGGACCATTTCAATCAGATTAATCCTTTCATCTAAATAATTTTCCACTCACTTCACAGCATCAAAACTCACCAACCCATTCTCTACTGATGCTCCCGACCTCCCTTCCTGTAGACGGTGAGACAAGATTAATTATTACCTGGAGTTGTACACACTATACCCTTATTGGCATTCAAGGAAATCCAAATAGCAGCAACATCTACCTTAGCAGGGTGTGAGGAAGAGAAGAAAGAGCAGGAAAGATGGAGAGACAACCGACTCTCCATTTATGAGCTGGCTGCTGGAGAAAGGGATCCGACTAACACACAGGGGCTCATGTGTTAATTGGAGGCAGCTTCTGCAGCAGAACAAATACCCCGGGCATTTAGTGACTGATGACAATAAAGATTTGCTTTTTGTTCACATGTGTGTATCCATACACTAGGGAGTGTGTGCCACGTGTGTGAGGGTGTCCATGGAGGTCAGGAAAGCACTGGATCCTTAGGGAAAGGACTGGAGTTACAGGCAGTTGTGAGCTGCCTGACATGGGTGCTGGGAATGGGACTCAGGTCCTCTGGAAGAGCAGTGAGTGAAATTAACGACTGAGTCATCTCTCCAGCCCCAACAACAAAGATTTATTCCTCATTAATATTACACGCCCTCCCTGGGCCAGCCCAGGGTCTTAAGTTGGACAGTCAGAAAATAGAACAGACTCTGGGACATTGCCAGGCGTACTGACAGAGAGGACAGCATGTGAATGATACGTTTCCATATCACTTGTGACCTCATCATTTCTGCTCACCAGTCATTGCCTGTTTGTGAGGTCTGTCTATCACAAACCTGCTAATAGCAAAGACCAGAGCTGGAAAAACAAACAAACAAACAAAAACACCAAAAGAAAACCAAAAACTTTTTCTCTTAACCCAGGTAATCCTGGAGACCCCAAAGGCTTCAATATAGGCAGGCAGAACCTTTCCTACAGCAGAGAACTAGCCAAATTCACATTTTGCACATAAGGAGATATCCCTAATTCACACTCTACAATAAGGAGATATCTTAATACACACTCTGAGAGATAGCCCTCATTCACATTCTACACATAGGGAAATATCCCCAATTTACATTCTGCAATAGGGAGATATACCAATTCACGCTCTGCACACAGATATTCCCAATTCACACTCTGCACATATGCAGATGGTTCCAATTCACACTCTTCATATAAGGAGGTATCCCCAATTCACACTCTGCACATATGCAGATGTTCCCAATTTACACTCTGCACATATGCAGATGTTCCCAATTCACACTCTTCATATAAGGAGATATCCCCAATTCACACTCTGCACATAGGGAGATATTCCCAATTCACACTCTGCACATATGCAGATGTTCCCAATTCACACTCTTCATATAAGGAGATATCCCCAATTCACACTCTGCACATAGGGAGATATTCCCAATTCACACTCTGCACATAGGGAGATATTCCCAATTCACACACTGTACTCAGGGAGATAACCCCAACCCACACTCTGCACATAAGGAGGTACCCCTGCCTGAAACCTACCACACTCTAGGCAAGCGTGGCCAAATGCTCCTTCCTGGCACAGGCCAGGTGAGAGGGGCTGGGTTTAAAGTCTCCTCATTACCTGCCAGAACAGCATACTGAACTGCAGCTGGGATACAAGAAGGGGAACCTAAGTGTCTGAGGCCGTCTTTGAGAGGTTCTGAGCATTATGATGAGGAGCATGATTTCTCTCTAGACTGTGGGCTTCAGCAGACTTTCTGGAGCCTCGACTGTTAAAGGGGATTTTTAATAGTGCCTGCTTCATAGCCATGTCTGGGAATTAACTAAACTAATGCTTATGAAGCAGTTTGCATAGTGCTGGACGTGCACTGAGACTCTCGCTGGTGCTCACTCCTAGTAGTACTGTTATGCTCTGGGGCCTTCTGCATGATCTCAAGATGGAACATTTTATCCCCAATAAAGATGCTGGAGAAAAAGAACATCGACTTAGAAACTGGGACATTTGGATTTAAATCTTTCTGGGGAGAGGGGTGCTTATATTTATTCATAGCATTGTTTTCTCAGTGTGACCTTCATGACTCTGAACCTGTCTCCCGTGTCTTAGTTTGCTTCCTATTGCAGTCATAAAACACCATAACCAAAAACAACTTGGAAAAGAAAAGGTTCGTTTGGCGTGTATGTCCCAATCACATAACTGAGGAAGTCAGGGCAGGAACTCAAGTGGGGCAGGAAGCTGGAGGCAGGAACTGACGCAGAGGCCATGGAGGGATGGTGCTTGCTGACTTGTTCGGCTTCTGCTCAGCTAGCTTCTTGCAATCCCAGCAGTAGCTGTCCTAGGTGGCACAGCTCACAGTGGACTAGGCCTTCCTCCATCAATCCACACTGGAGGCAATGTCCCAAAGTCATGTTCATAGGGCAACCATGGGTGCTGCGGAGCAATATTATTTTGTACACGATGAATATGTATTACTCTCATAGTCTAATAAAGAGCTGACTGGCCCATAGCTGGATGGGTAGAGGGTGGTGGGTAAACCAGACAAGAGGATGCTGGGACGAAGGGCAGAGTCATGGGAGTCAGAGGAGACACCAGCAGATGCAGAGGGAAGCAAGATGGGCATGCTGTACTGAGAAAAGGTACCTAGCCATGAGGCAAAGTGAAGATTAAAAAAGATGAGATAGTTTAAACATAAGAGTTAGCTAATAACAAGTGTGAGCTATCAGTTGAGCATTTGTAATTAATATAAGCATCTGTGTGGTTTCTTGGGACTGGTGGCTGGAAAAGAAAAGTCTGCCTACACATACAAAAGTCCCCAATTGAGATTCCCTCTCATCCTGTGTATGTCAAGTTGACAAACCAGAATAGCTATCACGCCTTGCTAATAAAGTGGAACACAAACACCCACTAACCAGATGCTGATGAAGGCGAAAGGGATGAGAAACACAGGAACTGATTTGGAAAGTGATAGGGTACCCCGAAATGTGAAGAATTCTAACTGTGGAGCCAGCCAAGAGGGCTCTGCATGCAGCACTCTGTGACCTCTTCTAAAGTTGCTACATGTCAGCAGATGACTCCAGTTCAACCCTTACCCAAGCTAACTACTAATTTAGACTTAAACTGCTCCCAACTCACAATTAGAATTCAAGCCCTGGAACTCCATTAGAGATGCATAAGGCTACATTTTCCTTCAGTGAAATTAATCAGCTGCAAATGATTAAATTACTATATATAGTGGGAAGCACAACAAAGCTGTAATTTTTATATAAATTCCAGAATGTTCCATTATTTTCCTTCAGTGCTGACACTGGATTCTTCCCTCCACAGTTGCTTTGTCTTCTGTAAAATAAAAATTTAAAAACCCATTGCTCTTCAAGAATCTCAAAGTTCAATATTTAATATGATTAATGTTTACAGTTTGTTGTGGGCTTGTCTGCTAATTGTGGCGTTAAACCACACCCCCTTCATCATCTTTGGGGAATGAGGGATGTTGATTCAGAAGACTGTGGGAGAAAGCATCAATTAAAATTCAGCTTCATTGAGCACATGAGTCTTTTCTGTTGTTTGTTTGTGGTGTCCCACGTCTCTGGAGGCAATACTTGCCCTAGCTGCCCCTCTAACTGCAAGAATAGATTGAGGTTCTGGAAGTTTCTCTGCAAGGACGTAGCTAGCCTGTGGTGAAGTTACAGCCTGGCTCAACTAGCAAGTATGTGTGAGTGGGTGGCTGGAGTGAGGGAAGGAAGAATGAGGGAGGGGGGAGGGAAGAGAAGGGAGGGGGAGAAGCCCAGAGAGCTTGATCTTGGTGACTTGGTGATCTTGCTCTTCTGGGGAATTCAATGAACAGATGGGGAGAGGTGTGGGCTTAGGGTAGGACTTGGACTACCCAAGGAGTGACCACTGTTTAGGTTTTACACAGTAGACACCTCACCTGGTTACTACTTGATCAGAGTGCTGAGTGAGAATCACAAAATGCGGCATTATCACCCACTGTGCCAGGCACTGGCGTGGTTGAACTCTTTGGGTCTTAGCATTCTAATGTACAAGACACAAATAATCACCTCTCCTGGGGAGATTAAGGAGGTTGATGAGCTTTGTGAGTGGCTGGATGCTCTTCAGATTCAAGAGCTATTGTTTTTGAGTGGCAAATATCCCTGTAACTTCCATAGCTCAGCAGGTCATTCAGGTCCCTCATCACAACCTCTGCAACCTTTCAGGGAGGAGTTTCCCTGAAGAAAATCTAGAAAATCTGCTGACCAAGAACTCTGAGCCTCCCACGTCCTCATTGCCATCAATGCTCAGAGCTCTACTGTGTTAGTGGCTTTAAGGTCACATCATCCAGACCGCAACTATAGAGTAAGATGTCATGTGTAGGCAGAGTTTTCCTGTCCCAACCTCATGCTCCCAAGTAAACTGGGAGTCGTTTCCCAAGTAGCTGACTTGGAGACTTAATAAAAGTTGTCAATGCTTGGCCAATAACTCAGGCTTATTACTCTTTGGGTCTTAGCATTCTAATGTACTTACTTACAGGCTTATTACTGTACAGGCTTATTACTAACTGGCTCTTAATAAGTTATCCCATATTCCTTACTTATACTCTGACACATGGCAGTACCTTTATTAACATGGCATGTTTGTCTCCTGCTCCCTTTGTATCTGGTGGTGACTCTCAATTTGGCTTCTTTATCCTGTTCAGTTACTGGCCGGTCAGTTTCTTTATCCAAGCAATCACAATGACAAATCTTTTTTGTTTTTTGTTTTATTTTGTTTTTGTTTTTTTCAAAACAGGGTTTCTCTGTGGCTTTGGAGGTTGTCCTGGAACTAGCTCTTTTAGACCAGGCTGGTCTCGAACTCACAGAGATCCGCCTGCCTCTGCGGATTAGAGGCATGTGTGACCACGGCCTGGCTTCAGTGACAAATCTTCACAGTGTACAAAGGGATTATTCCTCTTCCCACTCTTGACAGTTGTGAACGATATCTCCCTTACTCTCTAGGGATTCTGAAATGATGTGTGGACAAACCATCCTTCCCATCTCTCTCGGCATCTCCATGTGTCCACAGCCCCTGCCAAAGGCTGTGAGCATCAGCTTTCAAGTCTGTCTCTCTCACTCCTCCCCCTCGCCTTTCTCACGAATCCTGTCCAGATTCATGACTATCCCTTTCACCAAGAGCTTGGGGTCCATAACCCTGTTTTGGGGTGCACACAGCTGGCATGTTCCTACCCCAAGAGCTCACAACTTAGGAGCTATCTGCTCATATCCCTCTTAGCTTCACCAAGCCTACTTTATAACATCCTTACATGCTGCTGGCCTCTTTTTCCATTCTCACAGGGAAGAAGCTCTCTAGGGTGTTCAGGAAGTAAGGC